CACAATCTATCACCTGATAGTCCTGTGCACTGATATTAAGTGTATATTATTTTTGCTGTAATTTCTTCGAGTGATATATGCTTTCAATCAGATATATGTCTCGTCATAAGACGTCAATTTAGACCGTTATGTGTGTCTATCGAGTGGTATATAAATCGATAGACAACTGACTATTAATTTAATTCAATTATTCAGCTATTGAATTGTAATTCAAATATTAAAATCATTTTAATATTTTCTTATATTCTTACATTTATTCCTATATTAATCTTTTATATACAAAGTAAGAATTTTGTTAAATTTATTAATATTTTCATAAATTACTTAAAATTGTAAATATATTTAATATAATTTGTTAACCAATCAGATGCGCGAAGACAAGTATAACGGAAACGGAGTATTGAATGGCAATACCCTATCGGACGGTGAAGACGCCGATACCTTCTTGTTTAGCTCGGAATCTGTAGGGGAAGGGCACCCGGGTATGTATCTTAATTTACCTAGATAATGCTGTAATTATGCATAGATTATGCAATTTAGTGTTTCGAGACTACATTCAAATCATAAAATGTTTTCATTTATAATAGGAATTAGAATAATAGATAAATATTTTAAATTCATATAAGGGTTGAGAAAAGTTAGCTATCACATGTGAGTAAGTAATTCTAATACACTTTATCAATTAGTTATACATCATATTACAACCTTCAACTTTTTCTAGATAATTGTAACCATATATATCAAGGTTATAATTAAGCCAACGGATAGTTTCCTAATTTTTATTTACTGTTTATTAGCAAAAATATGTTATTTACTGGAAATTTCTAACTAAAAAAATAAGCAAAATTCCTATGAATTGTTATCTAATCTTACGTTTCATTTAATTCAATGGAGTTTTAATACGTTTTAATTTCAAATACAGACAAACTGTGCGATCAGTTAAGTGATGCCATTTTGGACGCCCACCTAAAACAGGACCCGAACTCACACGTGGCCTGCGAGACGGCCACTAAATCGGGTCAAATCGTGGTGTTAGGAGAGATCACCTCCAATGCCGTTGTGGACATCGAGCAAGTGGTCAGGGATACCGTCAAATCCATCGGTTATGACGACAAAAGCAAAGGTATTCATCGATTATAATTACAAATATTACGAAAAATGCACTCAAAAGTACTGTAAATTATCAATGTTAAGGAAAGGGAGTTTACTATAAGAAAGTTCAGCAAACTTTTATAATACAAACACTTATCCCATGAATAACAAACAAGATACTTTTCTAGTGAATTACGTAAACACAACACTTATAGCGGAAAAACAAAAATATTTTCCAATTATATCTAATCGCATCTGAAACTAAATATGACAATCACTTGATTGTAAACACAGGTCTCGACTACCGTTCCGCTGACATACTGATACTGCTGGACAAACAGGCGGAGGAGATCGCGTCGGGCGTTCACGTGAACAAATCCATTGAGGATATCGGCGCCGGAGACCAGGGGCTGATGTTTGGTTACGCCACGGATGAGACCGAGGAGTGTATGCCCTTAACGGTCGTACTGTCCAGCAAACTTAATGAACGTCTGGCGGAACTGCGTCGGAACGGCACCTTTCCCTGGGCCCGACCCGACTGCAAAACGCAGGTCACCTGCGAGTACTTCTTTGACAACGGCAGGGCTGTGCCCACACGGGTGCACACCGTTGTGGTGTCGACCCAACACTCGGAGGACATCTCGTTGGACGAGTTGCGCAAAGAGATCCTCGAGAAGGTGATACTGGAAGTGATACCCGACAAGTACTTGGACGCCAACACCGTCTTTCACATCAACCCGTGCGGCAGTTTCATCGTCGGCGGTCCCGGTGCTGACGCCGGACTCACGGGCCGTAAGATTATAGTCGACACGTATGGCGGTTGGGGCGGACACGGAGGCGGCGCCTTCTCCGGCAAGGACTCGACCAAAGTGGACAGGAGTGCCGCGTATGCCGCCCGATGGGTGGCCAAGTCGTTGGTGCACTCGGGCCTATGCAAGCGATGTCTGGTGCAGGTGTCCTACGCCATAGGCATAGCCGAGCCCCTGTCCATCACTGTGTTTGACTTCGGCACCAGCAATAAGACACAGCGAGAGCTCGTGAACATCGTTAAGGAGAACTTCGACCTCAGGCCCGGCCTTATCATCCGGGACCTGGAGCTCACCAAACCTATATTCCAGGGCACCAGTAGGTACGGCCACTTCGGTCGTAAAGGTTTCTCATGGGAAGTGCCCAAACGTCTGGTTTTTTGACAAATTCAGTCGAAACACAATTCCCGTACAAATTGTTTGCGAAATAGTTTGCATTTGAATTGTGATGCCATTTGTGAGCGTTTATTATATGTACGAGTATTTAATCCAGAATTTGATAATCAATTAATAAATGATTTTAATATTGAAATTACTGTTTGATTTTATTTAAACTTTTACGGACATAAAGTGATAACCAATGTTTAATTTATAATGATTATAAATTGATTACAAAGTAAGTGACAGTACTTTTAGTTTACTCTGTATACTAGTAAAGGGAGTTTATTTAGGTTGTAATGTTTAACAGCTATGTTTGTTTATTAAAACAATTAATCATAATGTGATATAAGTGACAATTAAAGTAAAATTTATTTAAAATTCAATTCAATAATTACTAGTTTTAATTCTTTTAATCACTATACTTTTTATTGATATTTGTTATAATATTTTAATAGTTTTAAAAGCAAGAATCCAATGAACGAGATTATCTGAATATTTTAATTAATAAATTATTATAAAATGAACGAAATATTCATATAATGTTTGCTTACTTTGTATGCCTGGAATCGGTTAATACGAAATAGTTTCCAACAATAAAATCCATCCCTTTTCTGACCCAACCTTTCCATCAGTGATAATAACTATAAGAGTATACGAATATTATTTGAAAAATGCAGTACATTATATTGAATTGAAAATTATTTTTCAAATTTTACTTTTATCTTATTCTTAATCGATATGTTATTTGTAACTATCATTGAATTCAGTGTAACATAAGAGTTGGCCATTTGTTGGTTAAGCCGCGATGAATAGTGTATAAGAAATATGAGGGATAACAATAAGTAACTCCATGCCTACAATATTTATAACCTTGCTATATATTACCACAAATAATTGGAATGCAATCATTAAACATATTGTTAGCCAATATATAGCCAAAGATTTTGACCAATAAATCTCATTGTATTCATTGATTTCAATGAAAATATTATTAAATTTATGAAATGTATATCAGTGCACAGGTATGCCTTTATTAACTTTGATTGATTTAATTTTCAATCTCAAGTAATACACAATAATTGTGAAATATATAATTTGCCAGATTATTATTTGGTTTACATATTTATATAACAGTGCTAGGTAAATAGTGTGAGGAATAGCACACACTATAATTTGAACCAATGATAAATGTAAGGAAAATATTAACAATATAGAAATTGCTGTTAAAAAAGAAATTAGCTTGGTTATAGATTCTCCAATTTTAACGTACTTTCGGCTAAACTTTATCAATTTATAAACGATATGTTTGTCGTAAATCTCAATACTAATCGGTGTTATTAAACCCGAAAGCAATCAAAATACACACAAATATCTGGGTTTTATATCTCGAGTATAGTTATGGTAATTGAGTAATTGTAGCATTAATATCATACAAAGTGTTATTATAATTAAAGTCTCAACATATTTACTAATTTCAGAGTTCAGAAAATAAGCAATGTCACCCACTATCATATGAAATTTTATATTCATCTTGGGTATTATAATTAAAATAATTTGTTTTAATAAACAAAATAAAATTATTATAAACACAATGATCGGGGTATTATTTTGTGCAATTTAATTACTTTGTTAACTGGACTAACTTTCATGTTTATTACAACCGAATGATTTGCAAGTTTTTCCAAATTTTAATAATTAAATATTAGTTTAACGCACCAAGCTACAATATTTTTATAATACAAATTATATTTTATATATAAATATTTACAAATTTTAGAAGAACTGTACAAGGTATATTAGATTTATATAATAATATAATATTAATATTTTTGTTGTAAAAGTACATTATGTACTAAACTATATTTTATGATCAATAAAATAATTTAATTAATATTTTGTTTGAAAATGTTAAAAAATATTATTCATTGTGTTATTTATAACACTAAAAATAGTTATTAAACGCATAAAAATGCATTAATTTAATTAATGTTAATTAATTTATATTAATTTAATTGTCAAATAAAAACAATTATGGCATTTAATTTATAAAAATTCACATATTTTCTAAGCTAATGGTTTAAACTATATGCTTAATAAATTTCAAGACTAGCCTTGAAACAAACTTAACAAATGACCATGTTTGCATTTATTGAATTCAATAATGACTAAAGCTTGTTACCATTGATACAGTACAATGTATTTTCAATGTACTGCCCATTCATTACTGTTTAAGTTTCAAATTTATTAATTATATATTTGGTGTCAATAATGATTGTGTCACTAATTTAAATAAATGTCATTTACTGTAGTCTAATGATATTTGCGATCATATTTTAATAGTTTAATAAACAAAAAACCATTGAATGCAATAAACTAAATACAGTTATTATAAATACAATACAAATAAAAAATATGATTTAATTAATTTTAAATATTTATGATATTTGTATAGTGCTAGATTATAAAACAAATCAATGAAATTATATGTGCAAAAATAATTAGTTGCAATTTTAAGTTTTATTTAGAATATTACAAAAGCAACTTTTGAAAAAACAACCTTGATATGTTAAGTATAATAATAATTGATGTTTGATATAAAAGTTAATTTTACAATTAAGGGCACAGTTTTTGCTATAAAAGTAAAATAATTCGCAAATTATATACAAAACAGAGACCAATAGTCCGGTCAACAGACATACGACGCCTCCCCTTCAGAACTCATCCAAATTGATCATCTCATAGGACTTCCGTTGAATGTATGGTATCTGCACTCGACTGGCATTTCCTATCCGACCCCCAATTGTCTCAATCATGCGCTCAAATCTGGTCGAGTATTGTATTAAACCATTTTCATAGCATATGCCAAGACTAATGATAAAATTAAATTAACTATCATAATTCATAGTTAAATAGTGATTATAAAATTTAATGTTACCAGCTAATTTCTAAACATGTTCACTTACATGGTTGTAATTTGCGCTGAATAGGGGATCTTTTTTCTAACCAATAGATATGAATATCTGTAAAAATATTTTTCCCGTAATATCTTAAAGTCATATCTGGGGAACGTCCGCTTAATCTTATTAACCATCTGTTTGGTCGCGAATATAACAGCCTTTCCCCTCAACACATCTCCCATAAGTTGCAGATTATCTGTGAAATCAAAGTTAAAACGTGTCGTCTCTTTGGGCTTAATATGTATTGTCTTCTCATAGACTTTGAGTCGTTTTTCCAGAATTTTGAATTCCTGTGTCTTATTATACTCGCTGTGATTGAGCTCATGGAGAGACCACTGACCCGTCACACCCGCCCTATTCCCCATGGCATCAGTTTTGTAGACAATGTCATTGAGGGACTGGTAGTATCGGATGGCATCAAAACCATAATACGAATTCAATAGCACACTCATAAAACATTTGCTTATAATATTGGTGCAAATCAACCAAAATATTATTAATATGACAATACCACGGGCACCTAAATTTGTTGTACATATATTAGTAAGTGACTTAAAGATTTCCCGTTGTTTTATACCATATTTACTGTTTATATTGGCACCGGTATATCGTTTGAATATCAGTATGAATTGTGAGCAACTTTGTCCGATTAATACTTCATAGATTGAAAAACAAAGTTTTGTTAGCTTTGTGTCATTATTAACATCTAAAATATGCCAAACAATTGAGTAAATTATAACCGAAACACATAACAGCACCCAGATCTAAACATTATATAATTTTATAATAATCATTTAAACATCATAGTCGTTATAGAAAATACCTCGAACTCCAACAGTGTGACCCAGGTATAGTAGGAATTGTCTTTTATGTGTTTATTTGCGGTTACGATTTGTGTCCGGTATGCGGTCGATACGGGCCGGTAGTGATAGGCATTGAATTTGTCTATCGTTTTGTCCGATATTTTAGAGTTGGACGACAGCGAGATGTATGGCATCTGATAAATAAATATATCCAGATACAACTTTAATAATCTGGTAAAATATAATAATTTGTAATAACTTGCCTCAGGGTCTTTATTATCAACATATTTGAGAATTAAATTTAAATTACACGACAAGTACTCGACAACTGATAAATAATGACCAATCAGTGACCACTAAATATAATACATTTGAAATATTTATAATATTAAGATAATTATTAATTAATTTAAAATAATTATGATTTGCTTACATGCCCAAATCGACTTAATTTGAGTAGTGCCATTATGACCAGGGCATTTAATTAATTGTCCAAATTGTACATTTTTGTGTCGAATTAATTGCGGGATAAATGATATTACATTTAAATTATCAAATTTCATATTTATGATCAACTACTAACAAAGTTTATAAATGCGATAACTACACATATTAATTATTGTATTTTTTGTATTAGATTTATCGTACAGTATATTGAACAATAATGCTGATCAATAAAAATAGGTTTATAACTACTGTACGTCAATTAATTTTCACAATATAATTGTAATAATTTTATAATAAACACTATTATCTTGTCTATAAATCAATTAACTTAAATTGTTTTTTACAAATCTATTATTATTGTACAATAGAGTATCTTCAAGTAATATAAAATATTTTATTGCAAATCCAATGAGAATACTATTATTTTATCCAGTTAATGTAATATAAATCCTTGAATAAGATGTACGGTATAATATATGTATAATGGGAGTAGCCTAAAATCGCCAAAGACATAATATATTAAATTATAATCTGAAAAAATATTTTTTTTATTAAATATTTTTTTTAATTTTTTTATTTATATAATATAATATGATATAATATAATGATTATATATTAGCACTATTATTTGCCATTTACTATTATTAAAATAATAGTAATACTGTAATACTATTAGAAGTACGGTACATAATTATTTTTAACAATATTAAAAATATAATACGCCATAAATAATTATTAACTGATTTTATTTCAGGATTATCTTATAAATTAAAGTTAATGGACAATATTGTAATTAATTAAATAAGATCTGCTCATTTAGATTTAATAAACAGATATCAATATTTGTTTACAGACTTTCCCACAAAATAAGTGATAATACATTTCAGAGATTTGTGGTAAATATGCACTAATCTGTACTGAAATATAGCTATTATATGCCTAATATTCTCAATAATGTTAAGTAAATAATTAAATAAATGGTATTGAAATTAGACATCAATTATACGGAAATGAATGCAAATTATAGATTCAATACAAATAAACAAATCATTGAATGTCTTCGTCGTCGCAGAGGTCATCGAAGTCGTTGAAGAAGTCCGAGTGAACCAACTTCTCATGGGTTACCCCGTCATCCGTTTCCATCCACGCGTCCACCGCTTCCACCCCTTCCGGGAACATCTCGTCCGCCACGACCTTCATCTTAGGCTTCATTACTTGTCGGACCACCTCTTCAGACAATACTTCAGACAATACTTTCGGTTAGAAATAGATAATTGAGTCGCGATTTGATGGCAACCACTGAACACAACGCCTAATAAATGAATGTATTGTGAGTTGTAAAGGATTATCTGTTTATTAAAGTTTAAAATTTAAAAAATATTCAATGTTAAGGGATTAGGGATTATAACATTAATATTCTGTACAGTATTTATAAAACCAAGGTACCAACTAGCAAAGGCGGGGGATTATAAAATGCTCTGCCAATGCTATGGATTATATTGATAAGCACTAATTAAATTGATAATTGATAACTTTCCAATGTGCTGTCAATACTGAATGAATTTTAATATCACCTTTCTTATCAAATTAAGTCTCCAGCATTGGCAGAGCATTTTATAATCCCCCGCCTTTGCTAGTTGGTACCTTGGTTTTATAAATACTGTAGTGTGCTCATTGAATATTTGTGATACTTGATAATAAAATGGTATTAATATGTTTATTTTGTAAAGTACTCGGCGTATTTGAATGTTTACAGAAATTATTTGTTACTTTTGATAACTGAGTTCAAAATAGGGGCTGAAATTGAGTCCATTTCTTATCGCTAGAAAATAAACGGAAATTTTGGGAACAATTTTGTATATAAAGTTGAAACGAGTTTCATATTTGTATTACAAAGTATTCATTGCATTGCATGAACTTGTTGAATTTTAAAAATATAAATTCTGTAAATATAATGAAAGATTTATCCAAAGAATTAATACTACGATCGCCTGTAAGTGCGGCAAAACTATTGCACAAAACTGTTGGCGAATATGTTTGGCACAAATTATGCCTGATGAATGATCACTCAGTTTGCTTGGTATGTTTTTGCACTCAACATTTTAAATATTAAGTTTGTTTATAAATTCTATATTTAAATTTTTAATGAATTATGTGCATAGCTAATTAATTTATAACTTTTAAAAGATTATAAATTTCAATTTTAATTATAAAATTCTAGGACTTGAACAAAAATAATTTGTAAAAATTTCTAGCTTAATATTCATTGTGTTTATAAAAGTTATCCATATACTTGATATGCACCACAATGTGTAAATTAATCAGTGACAAATAAATATTTACAGATTGAAGCCGTGAGTGACGTACAGATAACTGTTGCGGAGCTGAAGTGTCTGTCCACTAGTATATCCGTTGCACTCCTAAGCCATGGACTCACTAAAAGTGATAA